TAACTTTTCACCTTCTCTTTGTGATATTGAATCAGATTTTGAAAGTAATTCAGCAGATACAAATTTCATAGAATTATATAATTCTAAGACTCGTTTCCATACATAATATGTAGAATTCCACCTAGTTTTTACATCAGTTAAGATATCAAGTGGATTTGTATGTTCATCATTGAATAAAGTATTTGATTGAAAATTTTGTTGTGCTTCTCGAAGTCATTGAGCTTGTTTAAATAATCGAAAAAAAGATTGTAAACTTTTTACTCTTTGGTAAAATACTTTACATTGTTTTAAACCCTCTAATACTGAAAGTTGTAAAGTATGTACAACACAAGGTTAACATTGAATTGAATTAATATAATTTTCATCTAATAAACAAATTGCCTTTATCATGTTTGCTCCATTACCAGTTGCTATGGTAAAAGCTATTGAAGTTAAATGCCATTCATTTAAAATTTAAAATAATTTATAACTTATGACTTCACCAGTATGAGGATAAGAAAGGTGATTACATGTCAATAAAGCTTCTTGAAATTTAAAATCAGAAGTTAACCAAACTGCAGTTACACCAAGATAATTATGTCGAGATTTTGTAGTCTAAAGATTAGTTGTTAAATATACTATTATCATAGTACTTCTTAATAGAGAACGAAGTTGATTTATGCTTCATGTATATGATGAATGAAGTATTTCTTTCATAGTTTTGTCACAAGGAATCTTAAATCCTGGTTCACATATTAATAGAAGATCGCGAAAAGCATTATTTTGAAGAATATATAGAGGTTAAACATATTGAATAATAAACTTTGTAACTTTTCTTGTAATTATTTCTTGTCGTTTAAGTGAACAAGAATTTGAATCACTTATAAAGTTTGTGATTTGAAGCTAATCTTTGCGAAGCTATTTAATAATAATAAATAAAAATTAATTATTCTATTCTTCCTTAAAAAATTATTTTTTATATTATTTAAGCATATTGATTGTCAAAAATTTCGTCATCCAAAAATTCCAAATAATTTTCTTTAGTAATATTATGTTTATTACGCAAATGTGTTATAAGATTAGTAGTATTTCCACCTTTTCGGTTATAGCCATATGCAGCTTTATTTGTTCCTGCAAAATTCGTTTCACAAATTTTATAATAAGCAATATTAGGATTTTCTTTTTGATTCGAAAGAAATATGCTATATGACTGCGGTTAGTTCTAATTAAAGATGGATGAGATTCTACTCTTCATTTTTTTGTACTATTTTTTGTACTAGTGGTATCAGTAGTTGTAAGTTCTGTAACAGTTTCTATATTAGAAAGTATAACCGAAGAAGTTGATGGGTTCGCCATAATGAGAAATAAAACATGCAAAAAGAAAAAGTGTGCAAAAAGAAAGGATGATTGTATGGGAAAGCCCGTGCAAGAAACTAAATATGGATTTTTTTATTAAAACCTTAAATTTTTTTTGGCAAATCGAAAACTGGATTTTCTAACTGGTTGCATTCAGTTTTTATTGCAACCGGTTTTGCGTCATTCTAAAATTTGGAACCGGATTTATTCAAAACCGGTTGGACCTGAATTTAAAACTGAATTGTTACAACTGGTTCCAACCTCTATCATACTATTCATAAACAATTAATTTATTGCAAAAATATTGCTCAATCCAATCACTTTTTCTGTAATTTCTTCTGGCAAAATAGAATTGCGCTTTATTTTAAGTAATTGATCAAAAGCTCTTTTGACTAAACTTGGTAGCATTTTATCTATAATAAGCTTATAATTAGGATGAAAAGTGGGTATTTCCGCATATAAGTTGATGATCTCTTCATTTAGTACCAAATTTACTACATTTAATCTGAGTAATTTTCAAGTGTTTGTGCAAGTAAAATCTCCAGAATGCTAAAAATAATGATTATAAAGTAGCATAATTAAAATACATATCAGATAACACCCGCATATGACATTAACTAAAGGTAACAATATATACACTTTATTGATATATGTTTTCGGAGCATTATTATTTCACTACAGTATAATAGATATTGCTGGTCACAAGTGCAGTAATCTTGGCATAGTAAACAAATAGCATTCGACACAGTAAATAATTTATTATCTCATAAAGTATCAAGCATATTTATTACAAAGAAGGGAAACTCAAAATATATGTAATAGCATTATAGATCTCATTTCAGAAAAATAAAAATGTGCAATTAATAATATAATTAAATGAAGCGAAATTTAAAAAAAAAATTCTATTTTCTTATTTGTAGTAGTAGTAAGACTTATTTTGTATCACAACATTTAAGATGCATGATAATCTATTGATTAATGTGTTAGTTTAGGTACGTGCCTTAAGTGCATGTTCTATTTGAAAATGCTTTATAAATCTGTGATTATTAGTAAAGGTTTCCGTACATTTAAGATAAGAAAATCTAGTATCATCATCTGACGATGATGAATCTGAATCTTGCTGTAATCATTTCATGAAATAAATAAGTAATAAGATCTAAAATAAAATCATCAATGATAAATCGTCACAACATACTTGTGAAATAGCTTTTTCAATCATCCTAACATTCAATTCGAAGCCTAAAAGAATCTCCCGACCGTTAATCCTGATATCTATCTTTCTCTATCCATATTCATAATGACGTACAGTATTATTTTCGTATCATCTCCATAAATGGATATTTTCCTATAGTTGACTGTTATTATCTTGTCAGATGCTAACCAGAAATCCTAACTCCACAGATGTTCCCAGTGCAAAGAGTTCATTTCTAAATCTATCATCAAATACTTGGAGCGTTGAATTACTTTCAATAAAACTAACCTCAATAACAAATATTGGGGTAAAGGGTTGACCTTGGAAGGTCCAATTTTGTAGCGTGTTTAAACTGCGATCTGTTTGTTTTGGAGTGAAAGAAATGTCAGGTACTCTAATTGTTCTCTGTCTCCTGACATCAAAATTAAAGCCACCTTGTGAAGAAGTAACGTCTTTATTTTGATGCGTTTCAATGTGCTAGTTACGAAGCTGAGCCACAATTTCTGAGACAACCTTTTCTTTAGCATACGGAGTTTAAGGCATCAGGATTAATTTTCCATTTTCGTATTCGAAGAGGTTAATTGGTTTTCCGTTAAGTTGTATAGTGCAAGTCTTAAGTTAATCGTTTATGTATTCAAACTCCTCAAAGGTATAAACCTTCTTGAGGTCTAGATTTTTAAGATCCATTTTCTCGTAATAAACTTTAAACATGTTCGCCATGGTTATTGAAATAGAGTATGAAAATTTTTAATACAAGAAATTCATTTTTAACAACTTTACATTACATAAGTGAATAAGCCAATGATAAGTAATCTCCTTACATCCAATGTATAACGTAATAGCGATCAAGAGAAGAACGAAAGTAATAGGAAAGAACTAAAAGTGACAAAAAGCTTTAGATAAGTAATAATCCCAAATAGTAAATTCAGATATCTTAATAATCACAACGGATTACGAACGCAGTAATTATGAGAAGGATAGATATGATATTGGTAAAACTTTCTTTATAAATGAAAAAAGAAGACATTGATTAAAATTTTAAGAAAGAAGTTTAAAAAACATTTTTTTTGAATACTCAATATTATATATCCTTATGAGGTATAACATCATTTGATTTTACTGATGTTGTATTTCGGAGTTCGAAGATATACATATTTACATATAAAAGAACTGTATAAACAATGATTTATTTTTCGATTCCTTTATAAAAGATAGATGTAGCAAGCGAAATGTATGATGCTATCAAAGAGAGAGGGAGTACGCGGATTCTAGACCATTTAATGCGAGTCTAACATCAAGTTATTTCATAATATTACTTCCACTGATACTTCCTCTAATGCTACCACTACTGCTACTGTTGTTACTTCTGCTACTATCAGAAAAACTAACTGATTTCTTATTTCCCTCCTTTTTAATCCATTTAATAATTTTATTTATAAAAGTTCTTCTTGGTGATTTTTGATGACGATAAAAACTAGCTAATATGCTAGCACTAAGATCTATTTCGATTGATAAAATATTGTATAATTGAGTTGGAAAATGATCTTTTTTCCTCCTATTATTAAAATGAGCTGTAAATTCAACCCGATATGTTTAATATTCATCTATATATTCAGAATAATTTCTTATGTAAATGTGACTTGTAGAAGAGAATCAATTAGATTTTACTAGAAAAAAGCGCAATAATTTGCAGATAAGTATATATACATGACATATTTTTTTCTAATACATGACCTACCTTGAGATACTATATCATTTTTCCATTTAGCTTTTATACACATTCTTTGAAGTTCATTACTTAATATTAAGATAGTTCTTTCAAAATTATTATCTCGTGATCCCATTAGATATTTGCAAAAAAAGAAGATAGCAATGGTAAAGATTATATAAATGTTTATATTTTCTGAAAAAAATGTTCTAGATCATTTCTATAGTTAAGACATTATTAGTCAGCATCTCATAAAAAATAATATCTGAGTTTGAGATCATTTTTTAGATAGATTTTTATTTTATTATTTTATGTGAAATTATTATTTTTACTTGTTGAAGAAAAAGAAATACCAAAGTGCTTCTCTAGAAATAATCTTTTTATATATTTTACAGTCTTCTGACAAAAATAAATGCTTATATATACTAGCATAGAGAATTTACGTCAAAATACAAATCTGAAATAATCATGATATTTTTGAAAAAAGAAAATTATCAAGATTCTGTCTGACGTTTGTACTTAAAGACGAAAAAAATTAGTGCATTCCTATATCTTTATATCTTACAATATATTTTAAATAATGAATAATAATAATAATATATTTTTTTGTAAATATTTAACCATAAGGTCTTACGCAAAAGAAAAATTTTAAAATTTATTGAAATATAATAGTGGTCATAAGTATCTGACCGCCTGAGAACATCCAAAATTATTATATAACTACTCCTTAAATTTTTCAGAAATATAATATAACACAATACATAATCACCTGTAAATTTATAAGTGTCAATGATACAAAAAAAAAATTTAGATGATCATCAAACTTTCGCTTGAAAAATGGAACTTTTTTTAGAGAAACAATATGAAATTGTCTTTTTACGTGAGCACTCAGCTAGTTTAAAATTTAGTTTTGGATTTATTGCTAAACAGATACGTTGTAGTAAGTCTACAGTTATTTATTGGATTAAAAGATATCATGAAAATTAGGACCTAAATACTTCAGAAAGACTAAAATGGCCTTGTGTAATATCTACAAAATAAGCTGACAAGATTGTAAAGATGGCAAAGAAAGAACATAATATAAAAGCCATTCAAATACAAGAAAAAATGAAAGAAAGAGGTGTTAGGCTTAGTGTAAAAATAGTAAGGTGACGTCTTCGTAAGTTTAGAGAAAAGTTTAGTAATAAAAATTTTAAACCTTTGCTTAAAGAAGACCATCAAAAGAAAAGGTTGTAATAGGTAATAAAATATAAGAATTTTGATTGGAATCAAGTTGTTTTTATAGATGAGAGTACATTTTAATTATATACATTAAAAAAAGGTTAGGCAGTTTCCTGGTAGAAAAAAAGTGTTTCGTTCTGTTAAGTATCTACTAAAAGTTTCATGTTTAAGGATGTTTTTCTGCTTCTGGATTTGGTAAGCTATTTTATTTTTAGAGGAACCTTAATGCTGAGTTTATGTATATTATTTATAAGTAGGGTCTTTTAGCTTCCACCTCTAAATTTTTTGGTGAAAGTAACATAGATTGGATCTTGCAAGAAGATAATAATCTAAAGCATTGATCAAAAATTATGAAAAAATAGAAGGAAGAAAATAGCATTGAGGTACTTTCTTAGCCATTAATGTCTCCAGACCAAACCTTATAGAAAACGTTTGGAAGTTAATGAAAATTAATATACAAAAAAAAATTCGATCAATTAGAGGGTTAAAGAAGAACTTACAAAAGAATAGAATTAATTATCACCTGTACTTGCCACAAATTTGGTAGCTAGCATGTAAAGGCAAATAGCTGCACTTATAAAGTCAGATGGTAATTACACAATGTATTAATTTTAGTTAGTTGGTTATGTATTTTTTAAATAAAAAAAATTTTGAATTTACTTACTTGTAGCTAGAGTTAGAGGCAATCGGATACTTATGATTGCTACTGTATTAGTTAGATAGCTTTGCTATTATATAGATATAGAATTGTAAATAAGTTATATTATAAAATCTTATTTTCTTATTTTATTTTTTATTTAAAAAAAGATCAAAAAAAGAACTAAATATCTATCTAGATTTTTTTTCTCACTTTGATTATATAAGAAGATAAGAGTTCTTTTTTATTCGTAATATAATTTTATATAAAAAACTTTCATGAATTTGGGTAAATGTAGATCATAACATAAGGTCTATTAGAAGAAAATAGGTAGAATATTTATAAAAATTTCAAATTTCTACAGATAGTTCTGCATGAATATTTTTGCAAAAAATTAGCTATTTTAAGAATAAAATTATCAGAAGCATTGGTATAAATTTTACATTTTTATACTTTACGATTAGTAAATATGCACTGCTTATCTAATAAAATATACTGCTTATTTAATATAATCCCTTTTTTTAGAAAAAAAATTATGTTAAAAGAAATACTGATGAGTATGCTAAACTGATATATTATAAATTTATATAATAGAATAATTGTATATCTACCGTTTATTATCTAAATTGGCTGATATGAAAAAAATTAGAATAAAAAATCTACTATTTATTCATTATGGATTGAGATCTGTAAAATCAGTAGATGATAAATTATTATATTGGATTACATATTGCTAATACTTATAACTTTATTCTAAAAATAGATTAATATGTGCTTAGCTCTATATACATAATTTGAATGCGTTAACATAAGTAAAATAATAAAAATTTACCATTTATCTGAGAATCTGCAAATCATAGATTCTAATCACTTTATTTCTATTTCTATTTTATTATAATAATACTTTATCTTACAATTAGCAAAATTAGTGATATTTTTATTAGTAATTTAGAACTGCATAATAAGTGAGGTAAAACATACCAGAACTTTGCGAAGCATCTTTACAGCTAGAAAAGTATATTATGAGAGCAATATAAAATTATTTTTATTAATAAATCCTCTAAAATAATGACTGTAGATATTGGTGATATATTTTTCTTGAGATCAGTGAATCTCAAAAACATTTTATTTCATTTTAAGTCACATCCTGCATATATAAAGTATTACTGTATATAGCATATTCTAAAATAGATTTAAAAGACAATTATTTGAACATGCAATTCAGAATCTTTATTTTCAGCAATATTAAGAAAATCCATTATTCTTTCTATAGTTATCACCTGATATAATAATGTAACTAATCCATAACTAACTATCCTTTTTTACTTTTCTAATAAAATCAATTATATGATTATCTATATTATTTCAATAATATTCTACTTTAAAGATGAGTCTATCGTGATTAGATGCATTACAAAATATTTTCATGTTAAAGAGTTCTCTCATTAAGGTGTAATATTATTTTTCTCTTAGATTCTTGTTTTATTTTTTAAGCTCAATAGAAAGATGAATAAAGTTATCAACTCAAGGTATACTTTTTTAATCATATAATAATATTTTATAAATTTTATCAACTATAAAACCTTAACAAAAGAAATCACTTATAATATAGATTGCTTATATCTTTTATTCTTTTACGAACTGTAATCTGTATTATCTATAGATAAGTGAAAGAATTCAAAAATTATAAAAAAATGAAACAAACCTATATGATAATTCAGTCTATGTTGATACTATTATCTCTTTTAATCAAGCTATTACTTTATATAAGTGAATACTATGAATTAGATGATTTGAGTTTATAAATTCATTAGAGTCAAGAGTCAGAGTCATCATTACCTAAATCAGAATCATCATTATTGTCTGTATTAACTTTATTTATTTCTTCTTCTAACTTTTAAAATATATATCATTATTATTATTCGTCTTAGCTGAAATTATTTCATTTATTTTTTTTTCTAATTCTTCAAAATATACATCAGGTGGTATACTATAGATACAAAAGCTACATTCTTATCATTTAAGAAAGCAGTTTTCATATTAACTTAATCTATAATATATCAAACTTGAGGATTAGTGAGCTTTGAGATTTTATCAGCACTATAAATACCAGCTAATCATATGTTCTTCTATACTATTAATCTTTTTCAGAGT